ACATCAGGCACTGTGCTGACAGATGAGAGCCTGGAGGTTGCTTCACATTCTGTCTCCCTCTCTCTCTGCCTCTCTCTGGCTTGAGCTCTGTCTTTCTCTCTCTCTCAAAAATAAATAAATATTAAAAAAAAATTTTAAAACAATTAAAAAAGTTTTAAATGCAAGTGGGCAAACACTAAAAAGATAGAAAGAAATCCAAAACTAAAACAAAAAACCAAAACTACTCTCCTTATCCCCTATGCTCAAAAATTTAGTTCAGTTTGTAGTCATGATTATTTACCAAATAGAAGACTATATTTTAACAACAACAACGACAACAAAAAACCCCCAGCTATTATACTACTGAATCAGAGAATAAAGCACTATAAAACTTCTGTAATTATAAGCACATGTACTAGCACGTGTACATACACAGATAGACACAGATAGACTGATAGAACAGCAGAAAAAGCCCAGAAATAGATCCAAGTACATATGCAAATTAGTATATGATAATTAGTGGCATTTCATTACTGGAACATAGTCGTGGGGAACTGGTTAGCCATTTATAGAAAGATAAAATCAGACCCATACCTCACATCATACATTTCGAAAAAGATTAAGTCAGATCCATACTTCACATCATACGTAGAGAAAAATTCCAAATAGATCAGGGATTTAAGTATTAAAATGAAACCTTACTAGTACTTTACTGTCAGTGTAGGGAAAGCTTTGTAATCATGTTATGACTCAAAATCTAGAGACTGTAAAAGAAATGATTGATAAATGTGACTATGTTAAAACAATCATATGGCAAAACACTATAACAAAGTCAAAAGACAAGTGACAAACTGGAAGAAACTCTTTTTGACCTACATCACAGACAAAGGGATGAGTATCTAATGTATTGAGGATTCTTAAAAACTGAAGTAATAAAGGACCAGAAAGCCAATTGGAAATTAGGAAAAAGATATGAACAGATAATTCACACATGCAAAATAAAAATAAAATAAAAAAATCCCTTAAGCAAAGACAGTATGTTCAAAACTAATGGCTTTGGCTATAGTTAAAATAGTCCATACCAAGTATACATATGTATGTTCAAGCATTATGGTCACCATCCCTTCCATCAGTCACTGCTGGCAGATGTCCCAGGGTCATTAGTAGCTCATAGGAAGAGGGAATGCTTTAGTCTGGGTTGTCAGGGAAGATTTTAGAGTAAAGGTGATACCCGAGTGGGTATGAAAGCCTTGAATATATGAAGAACGAGGGGGTATAATGAGATATTTTAAGAAGCTGGAATGGTATGTGCATATTATGGCACTAGTGAAGCATAAGGCATATTTAGTTTCCCTATCTCAATATGGTGATATTTAAAAGAAACATACACAGGGGATGAAAGTTGTAACAAGAATAAAATGTTAATTATTTTAAAATGGTTTTAAGTAAGCAACTACTTACTTTTATATTTATAATTGGCTATTGAAACTTCCTTTTGATGAAGTTTACATTATTGATTAATTTTATAAATAATTTATAGGAGAATTTAGTTGAGAGCAAACATCACAAGCTTGCCCGGAGTTTAAGAAGTGGACCTTCTGACCATGATCTCAAACCTAATGCTGCCACAAGAGATCAACTAAATGTAAGAGAATTTATGGACCAATAATATAAAAATAATGAAATGTGTAATTTAGTTGCAATTGATGTGATAACCACTTCATTTGAAAGTGATTCAGGTGCATGTGTTTTCCAGGGTAATGAAATCTGCATAACTTCAACAATTTTGCATTTTCTGTATGTTTTTTGAAATCAATTTTGGGGCTTTAAGAAAATATATTAATCCTGGAGACAGAGAGACAAATAGTATGTACTTTCTTGATATAGTGGTCTGGCCACCATATAGAAACTGGCCCCAAGGTACATTGCCTGAGGGAAAGCCTTGGTGTGCAGATATGCATTGTTGTGTGCTTTGACTTGACAGGGAAAGTGTTCATTATTTATTTCCTTTTTCCTTTTGGAAAGAAAGGGGGATTTTATTATTTTGATATGGTTTATTTTTGGTTGAATTAAATGAGCTCTGTAGTTACAGATTTCTATATGGAGTGTGACTTATTACATCGTTTTTTTCTGTCCCTGCACTCTAATAATATCCTTTTTTGGACTGAGAAGTACAGCAAATTTAAGCCTTACTCTGCTTCATGTACATTTCTCTACTTCTGTAATATTCTATTATAGAAATATTTAAATAAATGAAAAATTTTAAATGAAATGGAAATACATAGGAAGAATATATTTAACCAACGTAGTTCTTTATTTCTTTGTTGTAGATTATTGTGAGTTATCCACCAACCAAGCAACTTACATATGAAGAACAAGATCTTGTTTGGAAGTTTAGATATTATCTCACTAATCAAGAAAAAGTGAGTATCTTGAATATTTTCGTATATCAGATTTATTTGCAAAATTTGTTACTAATGAACAGGAGAGGTAAAACTGCCATGGAAATAAAATGTTATTGTCAAAATAAAAACATGCTATAGAGCAATATATATGATACTTCATTTTTTAAATATTACAAAGGATATATACACAAAGATACATGTACCAGTTTGTTGCTGCATAGATTATGTATAGGTGCATAGTTTGAATGGGTTAAATCAGAGAGACTTGGGTTCACTTTTGGTAACACTACTTATTCTTACTAGGTAAGGTGAGGAGAATTGCCTTGGAAGCTTGGTTTCCTCATTTTTCTGGTGATGACAATCCTTGATAGGTGAGGTAATACTGGTGAATAACCTGGCCAAGTACCTGGCACATAGTAGATGCAGAGTAAATGTTTCACCTCTATCTTCATGGTTCTCACCTCTTTGAACTTGGATGACTACCAAACTATTTATGTTATTAAAAGGAATATAGAACTTTGGAGGAGATGTGCCTGGAGAGGGAGTATGAGAAATGTAATTTGAAATGTATAAGTTGAGTCATAGAGTGGGATCCATCTTGGCATGCGGAATAGAGGCAAGGTCAGAACTAGACATTTGCTTTTCTTAATGCAACCATTGAGTTACTAAGTTTCTGGAGAGAATTAGGATAAAGTAGTCAGCACTAGATTACAGTCTAGGGACTTGGTTCTGAGTCTTACTGTTGCCACTAAGAAGCTTTTTGAGTACTGGCAAATCACTTCCACCTGTCTGAATTTTAGTTTCTCATATTTAATATGAGTTGATTAAATGTGAACTTTAAGTCTCTTTTAGTTCTTAAAATAGTCTGTAAATTCTTAGAACATAGGTTCAAGGGCTAACCTTTAAGATATAAGAATAATAACCAGTATCTGTTAATCAGCCACAGTATGCCAGGGATCTTTTAAATCCCACAACAACCCCAGAATGTTGGTGTGATCATGAGTGTTCTGTATATGAGGAAGCTTGAGTCTTAAAGACATTGAGGAACCTGTGCAAGAAGCACAAAGCTCTTATACCATCTTGATGTGCTCACATCTGTGAATTAGAGGAGAACTTAGTGGATTTTAGAGAAAATATTTGCAACATCACGTACATGCCTCAGCAGGAATTATGAAATGTGTTGGGCACAAAACATAGCAGCACAGGAAAATTAATATCTGTCAGAAAGCTATTAAATTACATAATTATATGAGAATGAATGAATATGTTTTACAATCTCATGAGACAGTCTTTAGCTACTTTAACTTGTTTTTCTGAAACAATTTTATTTCTTTTCATTTCTAAAGTAAAGGTAAAAATTCAATTGCAGCTCATCTTAAACTTTCCAGCTTTACTTCTTTATCTTTTATTGATGCCTTGGGAAATTCTTTGTAGATGAATTATATTAACTCTCCTTACATCCTTAACAAGAGTGAAAAAAGAATTTTAAATTTCCTATAGCTTTGAGTGTTATTCTCTTCATGACTGCAAAAAAGGAAATATTCATCAATAAAAACTTAGGTTGTGATTCTGGGTTTCATAAAAAGATTGAGTTAGTACATGATACTCTGTTAAATGAAGAAAAACCTTGGTCACAGAAATTGCATCTTGAATGTAGAAGAGTGTTTGCTAAAACACACAGCAAGATATTGAATTAAACCTGTTAGAATGTATGGGTTCAAGAAGCATAGAAAAGATTTACAGAGCAGAACTGCCTTAGATAGAAACACTTGCAAGAAAAATTGTTTGTTTAAACAAGTAGTCACTTCCCACCGAAATTCAATTACTTCCAGATATGTGCAAAAGAAATAAAATGCTCAAGTGATATAAAGTATGTGACAAGTTTCATTTAACTAGTTGATTTCAAGTTTTTGAAATGTGGGTGATGAAACTTCAGTTCTCAGGACACATTATAGGATTCTTATGATCACTGGAGTAGAACAAACAATATTTCTTAATGTTTGGGAAGCACTTTTCAGTAGAGCAGATATATATATTGGCTTTCAAGTGACCAGAGGAATTATTCACACAGCCACATTTGTGTCTTTGTAATAATTTAAAATGGGTTTTGTAGAAAACAAATACTCTTGTACTCCTGTCCCTTAATTTACTTACACAAAGAAGTTCTTTCCGTGTCAGTTTCTCTGAAACTGATTTAGGTTATTTGGCATTGGGCCCTGAAGCTGAAAAGATTTGGTGTAGAGAAAACAGTGGTCAAAAATTGATGGAAATTAGTTCTTACAAACTTACATTTCTTATTTACTTTTTAATTAAATTTGGTCTTTCCACCTATTTTTTTCTAAATGACCTGTCTTAAGTATTTTGGATGAAAACCTTCTACTCTGGATGTGATGTTGCACCTACGAAGTTCACAGTAATCACTTTATCTAGCAAAACCAGTGAAATTCAGGAACATTTTAAAAATTTGTGGTCCATACTATGTAGAACTATTTCTACATAGTATGGAAAGTGGCTTATTATTATGAAATCCAAAATGTGAATATTGTAACTTTTCAAAACCAATAAATGGTAAATGGCTTCTTATAAAAATGTTAATTGAAAATAACTTTCTTAATGCCTTTCTGTTATCTTTGGGGGAAAAAAAGCATAGGAACTGTCACACAGTGGAGGTAATAGTGATGCACTGAATGTTCATATGAGGCTTTCCTGAAGTAGCTGTTGGGACCGTAACATCAGGACAATAATCATATTTGTGCTGTCAAGAAGTCGATGAGGAGCAGAAATGAATTCACTTCAGCAAGCAAAGTTACCACTTTGGCCTAGTAATATTTAGACTCTAGGCTTCGAGATACCATTTCTCTGTCTTTATATAAATTAAAACTGTTTTTAGGGAAAGGATATTTATACAGAATCAAAATGGGGAAACATAAGCATGTAAATTGATTAAAGGTTATCCTCCTAATAAACATTTAGGTAATTACTATAATAGATATGTAGAGTATAGCAAGATCAGTGTGCTATGATATGAAGGAAATTTCACAGAGCAAAAGATTGGTCTTAAAGTTTGAATAAGCTTCGATGATATTTTTTATGTGATGATCATTTTTCATGGAGAAGAAAAGCATGAGTAAGGCAGCATGTTAAGTTCAGAGACAGAAAAATTTGTGTGAATGGTTATGAAATAAATAAGTTGGAGTCAGTTTGAGCCTTGGATTCTAGCTTGGGAGTTGGATTTCACTGGTGATAGGAAACCACTAAAGCAACAGAGTATGTCTTAAGAAGTGATGTTTTAAGGAAGTTGAATCAGGGTGGGTTGGAGCAGATCTGAGAATGAAAGAAGAGACCTAATTAGGAGACTCATGTATGATTTTGAGAGTGATCTTGGAGGGCAGGGGAAGGAGAGGAGAATGTGTAAGATGACTTGGTGACAACTCCCAGGAGTTAGGCTCGAGTGCCTGAAATAATGAAATAGGGCAAATGGAAGGAGCAGGGTGAGCAGATATTTTCAATTTTGAAATTAGAAGCACAACTGTGATACTGTGATCTAATAAGAATATATACTTGGTTTTTGTTTCTGGCACAGTTTCTAAAGCCCTGGGGATTTCCTGAGTGGTAGGGATGGGGGTGGTGTCTTTTTGTTATTCATAATAAGCCCCTTTCAGCCATACCTGAGTTTATGCTAATGAGGTGATTCTTGCAAGATGGAGCTGGTTGCTAGAGGAACCAACCAGATGAATATGATTAGAGGGTTGGAATTTTCAACCCCACCCCATGACTTCTGGGAGAGGGACTAGGCATTGCATTAATCAACACTGGCCAGAATAAATCAAATCTATGTAATGGAACCTTCATGAAAACCTATGACGACAAGGTCTGTAGAGCTTCTGGGTTGGTGAATGCATTCATGTGACAGGAGAGGGGCATTTCCAAACCTCTATAGGGACAGAACCACCTCTGCTTGGGACCCTTCCAGACCTGTCCAATGTACCTTTTCATCTGGTTATTCATTTTGTATCCTTTGTAATAAACCAGTAGTAATAAGTAAAGTATTTCTGAGTTTTGTGAGCTATTATAGCAAATTACTGAGCCTGAGGAAGGTGTCATTGGTAACTTCTGATTTGTAGCCAAGTCACACACAAGTGTGGGCAACCTGGGGATCCAAAATTTGTAATTGGCTCTAAAACAGGAAGCAGTTTTGTGAGACTGACCCTTTAACCTGTGGAATCTTCAGTAACTCCAGGTAGTTTCAGAATTGAACTAGATTTTGGGACATCTAGTTGGTGTTCTCAGAGAATTAAGCAATTGTTTCGTGTGGAAAACGACACATTTGTTGTCAGAAGTGTCCTGAGTAGAGGAATAGATTTCCCTTTAGCAACAAATTAGAAATTTCCCATAACTTAGTTGGTAGAAGTTAAAAATAGAGATATATATGATGAACATAGTTTTTTTCAGCTCTGAAGTGATTGTGAATGTGATTCTAAGAATAGGAGATAATAGTGAAGAGGTTCTAAGATCAGAAGGGAGGTTAATTAAATACTGCTATTTAGGGGCACTTGGGTGGCTCAGTCGGTTAAGTGTCTGGCTTAGGTCATGATTCATGGTTTGTGAGTTTGAGCCCCGCATCAGGCTTTGCGCTGACAGCTCAGAGCCTGGAGCCTGCTTCCGATTCTGTGTCTCCCTCTCTCTGTCTGCCCTCCCTCCCTTGCTTGCTCTTTATCTCTCTTTCAAAAATAAACATTAAAAAAAAAAATTGGAAATACTGCTATTTAAAACATGGCAATAAAAGTGGTAATGTTGTCATTTGACATTGCACCCAACATCAGAAGTAGAATAACAATAATATCAGATGATAAAATAATTAACATCAAATATATTTTATTTCCAAAGTACTGTTCTAAACATTTGCGTTCAGTAACTTATTTAATCATTACTGCAACTTTATAGGACAAGTCACTTAAAAGTTAAATAATGTGCTAGAGGTGACTCAGCCAAAAAGTCATGGAGCTGGGAATTAGGATTTGACCTCAAACACTCTGGCTCGAAAGCCTGTACTCTCCATTTATCAGTGGAAACTCTAAAGATAAAATTGCTTTTGAATCCTTAAATTTACATACATCAGTACAGCATCTTTAAAGGGCCAGGAATTAAGTATTACTATTGCTTCAGATTCTTACATTTTCTATCTTTCTCATTTCCCTTCTCCTTGTTTTCCTTCTTCATTCTACTACCTCTTTGCTTACATTTGTAACATTCAGCATTAGAAAGTTGTATAATTCTTTGTACAGTGTCTTAAGTTCCTTGGAAGCAGCATGCTATAAATCTTACTAGTAAATCTGTAAATCTGAGAATCTGGGGGTTAGATTGTTTCAGTTACTGAGCTGAGTACATCAGCATGCTGCAAGATTTGCTTGTAAGTACATATCTGCACATTTCTATTAAGACTGCTGATGTGCTGTGAAATGGAAAAGGTTTTGCTGTAGTTACTTAAGAAGTATTGCTTTGTTTCAACATTCAACATAGAAATGCATTCTAGAAGTGAAAAATAAAATGCATGGAATAAGTTAGAAGGGTGGTCTGTGTTCTTACATGGAGAGGGAGCACTGTGCTAAATGGCATGCTGTCGGTACTGAAGAAATGGATAGCTACCCTTTCGGAACAGACTCCAGTTGTAGAGATAAGAATGCCCACAAAAGTGTTTGGCAGTTAAGAAGAGCATCATTTGAATGAAAGGGGTAAAATTGAGGTAAGTACTAAAGGAAGAGCTCAAAGTTGCTGAGAACTTACTGGAAAAGTTGAGTCTGACAAGCTGGCCTTGAAGATGACATTACTGTTTGGGTGAAGAGCATGGGGAAAGCTTGTAGACAGGAATTAGAGAGTGATGTATTAATTAGGTTAAGTTGGTTGAAGCATAGAGAATGGGAGTTAGCTTAATGAGAAAGGATTGTGGTGAGAAGTATCATTGAAGTGTTTTGAGAAAGAAGCCAAGGTTTTGTTGTTATGTTTGTTTTTTGTTTTGTTTTGTAAATTAGAGTGATCCTATTATCTAATGGGAAACCACACTATAACAATATGGTAGTCATCATTAACTGTTGGAAAAGTTGTCCATGTATGGGGGGGGGAGTTAAATTTACTCTCATTCTCCACAATGAAACGGACATTGGGAGGAAGTTACATGAAAACACTTCTGTCTTTTGGTTCATTATAGTTAAAAAACAACAAAAATGGCTTCAAAGTAGGTACTTTAGAAATTAGCCACTGGAATTACTTAAATATTAAGTCTCTTTTTGTCAGGGATATTAGAAGATACATTTCTGTTGACAATTGGTGGTTCATGCTAACATTACTTCCAACTTGAGCTTCTGAGAATTCCTGTGAAATGATTAGAAGAGAAACTGGTATTAAGGCTCTTAGCTAGAAGGCTATGCTAAACTCTAAATGTGTGGTGTAGTGAGAATCAAGCTGAGGGGAAAAATGCAGGAAATATTGCTTGGGAAATAATGGACAGGAATTGGTAATGGATTTAGGAGATCAGTGTTGATGGAATAATGGCTCTACGGGGCATGGATTTAGCCAGTTAGGAGATGGCAGTGCCTTAATGGTAGGGATGAACCATCTGGTGAAAGATGCATGGGCTCAGAGTTAGTGGATCCCAGTTTTGGGTGTAGCTTCTTCACCATTTTGAGGTGACAGGCAAGCCACTGACTTCATTGAGATTATATACAGTTTGAGCACTGGACTAGATAATCTCCATTGGGCCTTTTTGCTTAATTTACTTAAATCAAGAATAAGTTAGGTCATGGGCATTAGGGTTCATTTTATGTCATACTAACCAATAACTGTGTTTTGTTGTCCAAAAGGGCATTTTCTTCAGAACTGTATTAGATTACTAATGAAAAGATTTTAGTTGGGCAGAACAGGAATTTTAAATTAAAAAAAAAAAAAATTTTTTTTTACGTTTATTTTTGAGAGACAGAGAGAAATAGAGCATGAGCAGGAGAGGGGCAGAGAGGGAGAGAGAGGGACACACAGAACCAAAGCAGGCTTCAGGCTCCGAGCTGTCAGCACAGAGCCCGACACGGGGCTCGAACTCACAGACTGCAAATTCATGACCTGAGCCAAAGTCGGACGCTTAACCGACTGAGCCACCCAGGTGCCCCAGGAATTTTAAATTTTAAAGTTATCTTTGTTCAAGAGATGAATTCATAGACAAAGAGAAAGAAGAAAATGGGATCAGCCAGGAAACTGTTCCCAGTGGGGAGATGTGACAATAGAGATAGTTTTTTATGGAGAACAAATATACAACCTTGGTAAAAGAGCACTTATTATGTATGCAACCATGAATGATATGCTCGAAGGTCATTTATTTACCTGGACAATCTTGTAAAAACTTTAGATAGTTATGCTGCTTGTCTAAAGAAGTGAGGTTCCAGAAAGATACTACAAACAGGTAGCTGAATCATAGAATATTTGTTGCTGCTTCTGTGTTTTTCTCTATGCTTGTTTGTGTGGAGTTTTTGTTTGTTTTTTAAAATAGTTACTTCTCTGTGTAAGAGATGTACATATTTAATTTAGTTTGAGCCCTCATGTGTGAGTATCTAGGAAACCCAGTGATCCTGGGGAGGTTTGAGAGTGAGGTTCGTGGTAGGGATTGTACCTTTGCTTGACTTTGAACTCTTTTTATTTATTGGCTGCAATATTTCATGTCCCATGTTGATGTTGTAAAATGAAGGTTGTTTGTAAAACATCTCATGAGAATATGTACGCCTCTTTATTTCCATGTCTTGAGGCCTGCACTATTTTGTTATTAAAAAAAAAAATTTTTTTAATGTTTATTTACTTTTGAGAGA